GGTGTCAAGATAGGGTAAAAGATGAGGTTCTAGAACTTCGTGGATATAACGCTGCGCGTTCATGTTACCTCTGATGACGATTAAAGGCGACCTGGAACCATAAGCTATAGCACCCCAAACCATAACTCCAACAGTGTGATGAACATGTCTTTCAACAAAAAAACTGTGGATTCCTCCTTTCACCACGTCACCTTCTAACCCTGGCACGACCATCGTGCATGCCTAAACAAAATCGAGATTCGTCACTAAAGACAATACTGTTCCATTCCTGATCCCAGAGTGACCGTTGTCTGCACCACTCAAGGCGATTACGTCGGTGTTCTCGAGTTAAAGGGAGGACCCAGTGTGGCCGGTATGAAAACAAGCCAAAACTTGTCATTCGTCGGTAAACACTTCGCATGCCAATAGGTCTTCCGTGTTCTGCAAACCATTCATTTGCAATGGACCTGGTAGTGGAGAAACGGTCCCTTAAGGCCAATAATCTTAGGCGGCGATCTTCACGGTCTGTTGTTCTACGGCGGCGTCCAGTGCCCCTTGCTCTTTGCGTACGGCCTTCTCGAAGCCATGCCTGACAACACCTAACCACAGTGTCTACACTTCTTTGCACTCTAACTGCAATTGCCCGAAAAGGAAGTCCAGCTTCCCGAAGTCCCACTATACGGCCCCTATCAAACTCACTAAGTTGACGAAATCGTACAGGTCTCCGTACTCTAGGCATCGTAACCGATCGTAAAGGATGTCAAGAACCATAATCCGCCAACGTTGATTCTTTACTGCGGCTGAAATCTTCATTTTTAGAGCGTTAGTGAATTAAATAAAAGCAGTATAAAAACCGGAATGTCCAACTGATAAGGCTGAAAATTTTTTCACTTGTTATTTACAGTAAGATAAATACATTCAACAACTTTTATTAAAATAAAACCATTTAAACTGGGTGTTCGGATTTATATGTCACTTAGTATATTTGGATCAAATTGTTCAAGCCTTTGATTTATATCATCTATTTAATCAGCATAAAATTTCCTGCAATTCAAAAAGAAAACATAACTTCACAATAAGAGAGCGCTGACGCTTCCTCTGAACAGGTGAAATCTAGAAAAATTCATAAAGAAGAATAGCCTCATAATAGGAAAATGTGGACGCTGACTCAGAACAGTAGACATCTAGAAATATCCCAGCCTTTGTGCAGGAGAAAAATGACTATGAGAATCAAGAAGACCATAAAGGCGTCCTACAATTTTAGGAAAGACTGACGATACGACCCTTAATCCTCGTCAAAAACTTTATGAGCATGTTTAAAAACAGACTTTACCCTAAATTTTGAGGAACATCCATAGCCATGTTTTTCAAATATTTGTCTCGAAAGTTGGCTATTTTTCGTAGTATTGATGTTTCTTTTCTCCAATTCCGTAAAGGGAAACAACTACGTAAACATTTAATAAACTAACCGTATGGAGCATTGAAACGTTGTTACGGAAAAAATACTTTGGATTAACGTAAAAATGGACAGAACCTCATCAATCAATGGCTTCGTTCCAACAAAGCCGTGTACCGTACAGTGAACCGTCATGAGCGTGCGCAGTACGTTTTTAGTGTCACTTAAGACGTACTGCGCATGGTCATGACGGTTCACTGTACGGTACACGGCTTTGTTGGAACAAAGCCATAAAATCCGATTTCTAGGCTACGAGTACTACGCATGTTACGTGCAGCTGTGCAGCTGACTGCTGGGACAAAAATTTACCTCTGACTATCAAAAAGAACAAACGAATTGACAAATGACCGTAATGAATTTCGGATGTGGGCAATTTACTCAACTATTATAAATAGAACGTTGTTTATTAAAAAATTTCTACTGTGTGCTAAAACCCATTGTGTACTTTGTGGGTAGTCAGCAGTTACAAGGGAAATGTAATTATAGACGCATTAAGATAACAATCGAATACTATAACAATATTGGTAAACGACAAGACGCGGCTTACATAGTCTGACTGCCATGCAAAATTATAGAAAACATATTTGGTCTGTCGAGTCGTAAAAAGCTAGGCTAATTAGTGCATGGAATAAAAAATGCCCAAACAATACAATTCTTCTTCAAATGGGTTAGCGTCTCTCGATAACCCGTTAGCTTCGTTTTTCTACGTAAAACTAGTAGACTAACGATTTTTGTTTCTTACCTGCAATTATGATCTAAATTCATTTCTTAGGTAGTTGGATACATAGAACACGCATTTGGTGTCAGAATTTCGCCGACTCTAACGTGAACCATATACCCATTTTACAAGCTTCCAAGCTTCCATATAACTTGACCTGTTAGTATGTTAGTATCTGTCGGAAAAATCATAAAACTACCGCCATTTTGAATCAGATGCTACAAAATGGCGATTCATCATTTTCATAGTAATCCTTATGATATGGGTATCAAATGAAAGGGCTTTATAAGAAAAACACAATAAGTAGAGTGGCGTCATTATAAATCCAATATGGCGGCCGCTCAAGATGGCTTTTATAATTATCATATATTATAATTAAACGTAACAAGGCAACTCTAAAAGCAAAGTGACGTCATTCTGGATCCAATATGGCGGCCGCCTCAAAATGATGATTAACATATTTCATCGTTACCCCTGCGACATGGATTTCTAATGAAAGGGCATACTGAGAAAATACAATGAGCGTGGTGACGTCATTCTGGATTCAATATGGCGGAGACCGCAAAATGTCTATTTACATATTTCATCGACATCCCTGCGCCATGGGTAACAAATGAAGGAGCTTACTGGGAGAAACACAATAAGCGTAGTTGTCATTCTGAATCCAACATGGCGGCCGCAGCAAAATGGAGATTCACAGTTTTCACAGTCACCCCTATGATATGGGTATCAAATGAAGGGGCTTGATGAGAGGAACGCAATAAGCGAAGTGCCATTGACACATAATGAGCAAAGTGATCCTAGATCCAGCATGGCAGCCGCTGCTAAAAAGTCATTTTTAATTTTCATGGTCACAGGAGTGTTACGTTTTGACAGCAAAATGGAAAAACGTGTAATACGCTTTTATTTGAAGGCATGAGATAAATGAGCTTGATTATGGTTTAAATATTTTCAATCGGAAAATGTGCTTCAAATTTCAGTTCATCTCAAGGGCGAATTCAGGATTTCGTCTAGGGGACGCGCAAACGATGTTTGGAGCTGGTCATTTTTTAACCTCAGTGGAACTTCTAGAATTTATCCTATTATTGCTTCTTAAATCCATTGTGTTGCATCTGGTCAAGGCCAGCTTGAAAAAACAACATGGAAAATGCTCAGAAATCCTCAGAAAGGCAATATTTTATCATATGAGAACAAAATAAGTACGTGGCGTGTATAATGAACTAGTTCAATGATATTAAAGATTCAAACATAAACAATTTTATTGCTGGTAATTAAAAAATATAAAACATTCTGAGAGACTCCGAGACATATCCCAGTCCATTTCACACAAAACAATGTTTTTGATTGCGAAAACGGACACGACACGGTTAGGATGGGAGGTCAAATTCAGGCGGGTCTGTCTGGCAGGCACATCGCGTAGCGGCATCATGGAAGAGAGATCTGAGGAGCAAAGAGCGTTGGTGTAGCGGTACAAGAGAGCTAGATCGCCGACGGGTCGCCTATGCGAAAGGGTACGGAGACTGTCTGTTAGAGAAGAGTCATCGATCAGTCGGACAGCCCTCCTCTGGTCAGCATCGAGCATAAATCATGTAGTCGGGGCGGCAACACATCAAATGTGTGAGCAATACTCGAGGCTAGGCCTTATCTGGACCTTGTATAGAGTGAGAATGTTATGCGGAGAGAAGTACTTACACCCCTAAACAAATAGCGTAACTTTTTCCCAGCAGCTGCCGCTCTTGACGAGATGAGTTCGTGCCAGACCAGGTCCTCGGTGATCTGAACCTGTCGAAGTGAATGGCTCTTTGCCAGAGCTCGGCCATCCATCGAAACTGGATAAGCTTTAGGACGCTTTTTGTTCGTCAAGGTACAGTACTGTGTTTTGGAAGCATTAAACTGTACAAGATTGTTGCGTCCCCAAGCGGTGATAACCTCCAGGTCTCTCGTCAGAGAGGAAGTCGTGTAAACAAGTGATGTCAAAGAGGGTCAGCATTTGGAATACCGAAGGATACCAAAAAATGCTCAGTTCCTATAGCTATAACTTATAATCAGTATGCTTCTGACGCCATGATGTGTCAGAAAGTAACACAATAGTGTTAGATTAAAAAAGCAAGTGTCAGACGTCTAGAGGGGGGAGCGCGCCTCCCCTCTAAATCCGCCACTGGTTCATCTTATGAACAGCTAAATTAGATATTGGAACAGGTAAAATCATTTTGATTATTCTTAAGTAAATTGGTATACTTAATCTAAGTAAACGATTCAATATATTTAATTAAACAATTGCGTTTTGGCTTAAATAAACTAGTTTTCTAGATTCAAGTAAACTGTTAGTAATCGGAGTTCAATTAAACCAATTACACTTGTTAGCTGCCATACAGTTAATTATATTTTTTAATCGGCTTAATAACCATTTTAGTTGATTTGATTAATTTTTACTCTCAATGCATTATACGATTTATACTTACAAAAAAATAATAAATAAAAAAGTTTTATGGAGCTCCATTGATAAAAATGAGGAAAGGTTATCATCCAAATATTTTCAATCGGGAATAAATAGTATTAAATGTTTAGTTCATTTTATGAACAAGAAAGGCTTTTAAATAGCAATTTTTTATTTTATTTATTTCTTCTCAAAATAGAGCTTGTCTGTTTAAGGATGGCCTAAACACCGATACATCTCAGTCGCTGGATTTCTTCTATTTTCTCATACACATTCACTATTCATAGGTCTGGCACTGTGAAAGCCTGCACGCACAGTGCTGACACCAAAAAAATTTTGGGTGCAATTCATCGTGCAGGAATGAAACTTATTTGCTAGCATTACATGTGATACAAGGAAACAAACATAAGCTTATCAACATATTTTATTCAATACATACATAAAAATTATCACAGTAAAACTCAGTGCTGAGACGAAACAATAATCTCAAACAAAATATCATAACTAATTAAAGTATTCTATTGAAACGGTGAAGAAACCAAGTTGGCCTTATTTATGAACAAACTATACAGGCTGTATATTTCTACATCATTGAATGATTGTTTATACAAGTTGTTTCCAAACGATTTTGAGTTAATGCTATTGATTACAAGAGATAAGCAAATACATCTTGTATTTAAATATCAAATTTTCTATCAAAACAATAGCTTTTTTATGCTCCAGCTACCACGGGGGCGCCAGATCGGGAGATCTCGCTGGCCAATTGATCGGTCCGCCTCTCTCTACCCAAGTATTAGGGCGCAAGCGGTCTATATAAGTTATGGAATCCTGATGATTACCATTTCAACGGTACGGCTAACACCGTCCCGATGCCCTTGTGATTAGCGCCGTCCATCCGGTTCCTAGTTACAGCGTTAGGTGTTATCTTTGTGAGAACATTCCTGACTTTGCATTTTGCTATATTTTACTTCTTATAAACTGAATATGAAATGTAACTAGCGTTGTTGTCATCCTGTTTTCATCCAATAAAGTTCCTGCTATAGTTTCGAACCGAAACCACACTGAGTTTCATTTCTGGCGCTGCGAACAGGATCCCAGGCTTGGTTTCTGTCACCATTGTGAGAAATATCTAATAGACGAGTTGCCCAGCGGTGTCTCCGAGAAAGCCAAAGAGTGAATTCCTGAGAAAACTGAAGTTAGTACCAGCGAAAGCCAAGAGTTAGTATCAGACGTCGGGAAGGCCCTCCTGTTCTACTTGGACTCTCCGAGTGCCAATATCAAGTAAGAATTTGTATTCTCTTACTGGGAATTCTACCAGAAACTGTCCAGAACCATTGATTTGGAATCGAAGACAAGATGACCAGCCCCTGGATGAAGCAACAATTGATGTTACTGTCCTTGTAAGTAGTTAAGAATTACTATTAAGAATATTTTGCAACTAAGAAGATTTAATACGTAACCATAAGAAGAATTTATCAAAAAACTCATTTCTACAGAGAATATTTTTTTTTTGAAGAATCCAAGTTTGCGTTTTTCAATTGAAATCTAATTTTATGCATAGCTTTAAGTTTTGTTTTCACCTATTTTTACTCATTTTTATCTTACCTCTTTTATACATTTTATTTTATGCTTTTTGTTAATCGTTTTGTGCCTACCGAAAGAGAAAGATCTCCTATAAGAATGGCTACTTCAAATCAACAGAATGTCGTTCAGCATGACAATCCTCAATTAATTTTTAACATGCTTAAAGGTTCAACTCCTATATTTGATGGCTATTCAAACAATCTTTCTACATTTTTAAGAAAGTCTACAAAATTTTATAACGCTTTACCTATTTCCTATAAAGGACATGCTTTAACATTTATTAAGTCTAGATTACAAGGTGAACCTGCCGAATTTACAGAACAAACTAATCCAAACTATTGAACATCAGTCTTTGTTACCACACTAGACGATCCATCAGATCTCAATTATTACAAATTTGCAACGATTTAATTCATATCTAAATTCACTTTTATTAGTTCTACAATTGAACCAGCAAACAGGTCTCAGCACCTTACAATTATCTCATCATCAGATTACCTTACTTATTGAACATTTAAAATCCATTTATAAAGACGAAGAATTATTGCCATTCGACAAAATACATTTATTTGAGATTTATGATCTTTCCCTTTTATCACTTATACTTTTAGAAAACCAACTTATTTAATAAGTTGGGCATTTTTTCAGACATTAATAAATATCTAAGCAAGTGGCAACCAAAACCATATGTTATATGATATCAATTTTCTTGTTTTTAGAAGCTCTATCCAAACATGCAATGAAATATAGGGTATTCTGTTTAAAGAAATGCATGTTTGCTATGACACGAAGTTATGGAACACCACAGGGTCTTCATCAAGATAATTTTAAAATATGCACCACTAACGTATGAAGGCTGCCACGAAAACAGATTTTTGATATCTTTTCCAGTTTACTCATAAAACTACTCGTTGGGACACCCTGTATAGGCATAAAAAGTTATAATGATATGACTGAATACTTGAAGAGTTATACTCGCGATACACTTGGTCAAACGTAACGTTTTTATATAAAACCTAATAAGTACCATTCGAAGGTTTTACGCTCTATGGTACTATCTATTTAAATACGATCTCACATTCTTTTAGACCCCGGTTTTTTAACCGTTTCAAGAGAAATCAAAGTACTATATTCCTAGTTCTATTAGTAAAATATAAGGAACGCAAGAACTATAACTAAGCCATTCACAGCTATTTTCGACGCTGAGGACGGTGTACATTTTTTATCACTATTCATCATTTTCCCATAAAAATTGGGCAAAAAGTTCGTATTTCTTTCAATAGGCACCTCCCGCAATTTCAAAGTCGCATCATGGAACAAGACGTTGGATTTCCCATCGAACCTTCCAAACAAAGTAAATTGATTGGTGAGTGACGGGTAGTCCGTTCCAAAAAGGTCGTTCAATTGGAGAAAAACATCCAGGGTGTCAGAGATCCAGAGATCGCTACGATTGGATTGGATCATAGCTTGACCAATAGGAGACCAGCTCAGGTGACAATGTGACGTTGTTTCGTTGCAGAAGAGGATTTTGAAACTGTCGTTTGTTAGTCTGTGGCCTGGGTTGTCTTCTCTCTCATCTGTAAAGAAAAATGATATCTACGAGTGGGTACATAGAGTGTTTTGCGAAGAAAAATTAAAATGAGGATATCGTTAATAACTCGTGTCAAATTTCATAGAATAAATTTACTGTATTTGGCTTAGGAAAACGAAATATATTTATTTCACTTTTTAAAAGGGCAAAATGTTCGCACAGGCTTCTACAACACGAAAGGTTACTATCAAACCCAAGAAGGAGGTCTGTTCGAATATTTAAATTAATATTTTGTTTTCGTTTTGATTAGAATTATTTATTTCAATTTTGATGCGACTTAGTGTTTCACTTATTTTAGAATCATCCTTGATTTCTATCGATGGTGAGAAAATCAACACATCCTGAGATATTGTTATATACACCATTACGCAATACAAATTATCACTACCTGTGTGTACGCAGATAAAAACCATTTCGAAGCAGGACGACACTCCCAATGAGCCCTAGACGGGTTCGGACCTATGATCATTGAGGTGGAAACCGGGAGACGGGTTCGGACCTATGATCATTGAGGTGGAAACCTTGCGTTCGTGTGTATGAGATGTGGTGTTGCCAAGCGAACCAATGATGCAATTTTGCAGAATGTGTACGCTCCAAATAAAACCATTATTTGGACATAGAAAATAAAGTAACACATATTTTCAACATGCATTTTAATCCATCCAAGGTATTGGAGTAACATATTAGCAAAGCGACGGATTGCCGAGTCTGCTTTGTTAGGCAACGCGGTGATAGGCTTCGCTATCCATACAGCTTCTAACTCTTTCTAACATATGTGTCTATTCACACTTCTCTTTCGTACACATTGAACTCAATCCGTCAGACAAATTAATGTGGTTCTCAGTGTATGTCCAATTTAAAAGAAAAAACATATTTTTTTAAATAAAGAAATGACATCCGATGTCACTCATGGACTAACGTTGTCTTCTTTAAATACTTCTAAAAAAAATTGTCACATTGATTTTGCATTCAACCCAGCTTCCTTCTCTAATGAGGAATATGGAGACTTGTTTTAAGTATTTATAGTGGTATAATAATAGACAGCAAAAGAAAGACTATGTGATACACTTACATAATCTTCCTGTCCAGAAGTCATTCCAAACTAATGCTTCATACATTCTGAATAATTTTATCTAATATTGTATTTCTTCTTACACATCTGCAAGGAATCTGCACAGTAAAATATAAAATATGTCCCGAAAACAAAGTATGCTTCGAGCAAAACACAGTGTTGCATATATTCATATCCCTGATAACTTTTTACGTTGATTAGGATTTTTTATTAAATATTTAAAGCAGACAACGCTAGTCCACGTGTGACATACGAATGACGTTCTTTGTTGACAATTTGTATGATGTCACATCATAGCCGATATTTCTGTAAACGGGACTTACAGGATCCCTCTTCAGCTTTTAAAAATTGAAATTGATATTGCGTTTTTCTAATGCAAATACTGTAGGAAAGACTATGAAATTGAACATAAGCCAAGCAGCTTTTTCTTGAGTGTCTTGTGTACCTTATTGCCCCAAGCCCTTCATATGCATACAATCATTTACTCAGTAATTCATGGATAAGACAGCTTGAGCCTTTTGCAGGAAAATTTAGACAGCAACCTTGACTAGTGACAGAATAAGGATCTGATGCTTAATCCCAGAACGTTTAAAGTAATGTCCATTACCAGGAAACCAGTCTATTATACTATATGATTATACGTATACTGGACAATCACAAACTTGAGAGAGTACAGCTTCAAGTATGACTAGATTCATTATTAAAAGTACTGTATTCCACTTTAGTTAGAAGCTTACTTGAATATGGCTATGTCAACTGGTCTCCTTTATCTCCTTTATATGTTACATATAAGTCTAAAGTCAATCAAATCCAAAGGAAATTTTTGGTGCATATCCTATTCAACCATCCAAAGAAGGATCTTTAGATCACTTTGACATAGTCGTCTTGAACACCGAAGATTTTTGTTAAGCTGCTACTTTGTGCATAAGTTGCTAAGCAATCAGATGGCTGTGGTAAAATTTTGTCCAGATTAAATTTTACTGTCGCTAGGTTGAATGGTAGAAACTACCCTATGTTTACCTTCCAAGAGCTTTAACAAATATTATGCTTTCAAATAGAATATCGAAATGCCTTAACGAGGTTCCTATCTCCTTGACTTTGATATGAGTGAACGTATACCTATGTATATAAAAGAAGAATATTTTTATATTTAAAAACTGTTCACTGACGCCATTGGTAGCTTTTCAGTATCTTTTGGTATGCTTCTTTATGTATTTTAGGAGTTGAATTAACGTTCAGGAATATATTAATTTGCACGTGCTACTGCTGCACTGATGGGGCTTAGTGTAGATTTCTGATATACACACATACGGTTTTTTTTGTATCATCAATCAATGATACTATTCTTTGTATGTGAGTCTTTTCATCACCTGTATACTGTTTCTCTGTGATTGGATCTTGTATCTGTTGATAAATATATGATTAGAATAAAACACAACATCTATGATAACTTCCGAGGTCGGGTTTTGAACTCGCCACCCTTTCAGCCGATACACTAGCAACTTGACGCGGTAAAATACCTGGCTACTCCGCCCCCTCCTTTTAAATATATTCATTTTCAACGCACCTGCCACAAACTTATAAATCGAGTTCCTGGATACAAAAGCGACATCTCCAGCACCGCTAGCTAGGCAATACAATGCTCCAAACTCCCCGTCGAATGCATCTTGCTGACACAACTCCTTGAGACTGCCTGGCAAATTCGGAGACGCACCAGGGGCACAACTTGCGCCAAAAAACCTAGACATTTCCGTGTCTAAGGGGCAGTCTTCAATAAGTCCTTGTTTGAAGAGAAGTTCTTTGATCGTGTTCCATGCTATTCCATCGTAGGTTGAGAAGCAAGCCTTCTTTGATCTTAGATCTGCGATTGTACTTATGTCGTTTTCATCGGACCTTACGACTGCTACAGTGAGGTATTTTTCATGATCTGGGACTGTTTCGTAGAATAATGTGGTTAGGTTGAATTCCCTGAAAATATTAGGAAACACTCAAGAGCGTATCCAGGAGAGGGGCAAAAGGGGGCAGCTACCCCCCCTTTCCCTACCTTGGCATAAATTACATGGAGAGAACATATCTTGCAAAAATTAAATTATTTATGTATAGGGTTCGCCACAAGCTGAATCAATGACATCTGTTAGATCCGAAATTACTAGGATTGTTTGACATCTATGTTGGATATAAATTTAATTTTGCTAAAAGTACTATATGTGTTACGTGTATTTCAAATTCGAACCTCGCCTTTGACATCTCGGAAACGGTAAAGCTCACAGCGCACAGCGCTACACGGTCAATAAATATCGCATCTCATGATAAATATAGTGACATTTGCCTAAACGACACAGAGTACTTACTTTATGGGGACAAACTTGTGCTGGTAAATAGAAAACAACTTCAACAGTTTGGAAATTCAAACTGTTTCCGAATTGATTCTAAGTCGTTTTTATTTTTTTCTTGCTTTAGTCCGAAACAGAACTTTTCAAACATCCACTCTGTCTACAAATCTCAAACAAATTACACATTAACATGACCACTTTTTCTCTTCTACACGGTGGCATGATTAGAATTTCGATCTGACGTTTCAGCTCTCAAACTAATGAATCGTATACACCTATAAGCTTTGCTCTAGCAAAATGCTCAATTGAAGGGCTTGGGGCGATAAGGTACCTAAGCCACATTGACTTTATTTCTACAGATCTCAGAAGATATAAGCTTTATGCAAACAACATAGAGTTGCCAGTAGAAGAGCCACTTCGTCCAAAAAAAACGAATTCTGCCACGGTGGCTGAGATGATACCTGCGATTTCGGTGCGATCATCCATTCTTTACTTGCGGTAATAGTCAAGAAAGTATCTTCACATCTGCTGGGAATAATATTTTGATTAGTTATTTTGCATAACATTAATCAAAAAGAAACCATGTCTGACGAAATTATAGCCCTGACAACATGCAGATTCTGCAATAAGATTATGGGAAAAAGCAGAATCAAAATAGTTTTGTGACCAGAGAAGATATTTCCCGGGCTACAATGGATGACATAAATACAAAAGGTACCCTAAACCCTAGCCAGGTAGTCGATGCCCGGCATCGGATACGGTGGAAGCAATTCGGAAGTGGGTCGTGTGGCTGTTGTATATATTGTACAGGGCGATTCATGATGACAGGGTGGTATAGCGTGCCTGGACGTAAAACAAAGGAGGAAAATGGGGTGCCGAGGTTTTCTTGTCCTGCTAGTGATATTAGGCAAGTCTTGTTGTTCCAAGATATTTAGCATCCGTTTTTCAATAGAGGAGCTCTGGTCGAGGTGTAATTGACGAACATTTGAACTTGAATTGTTACATTATGATTAAGTTAAAAGGGGGCTTGCGCAAACAGCTTGTGCATGCCAGATTGTGCAAATTTTTTCGGGCTAATGATCCATAAGTTCACTCAATGAACAAAGAGAACAACATGAGTAAATAAATATACAATAAGAACATGCCCAACAGGAGGCATTGCCTGTACGTACACCAATAATTTTAAGTTGTAACTGTAGATTATAAATTACAAAAAGGGCAAAAGTTATGGTATAATGCAGGAAAATATTTTTCTGTCAGTATATTCGCAAAGTATGTAATTTTGTACGATACAAATTTAACTTTCTTTAAAATATAATTGACATGGATGTTCCAACGTAAATGAGGATCCACTATTCCAAGGTATTGTATGTTTGGCACTCTCACTTTGCAGTTTTTGATCATTAATGTGGAGAAATATGTGTAATTTGGTAAATGTCTAGCATAACATGCAAATGGTAAAAAATATGTTTTAGAATAGTCAATACTTAATTTTCTACTATTAAACCACCAAATGATTTTGACAAAATCACTTTCAGTTACATTTTTCAGACCAGACCAGTGAGTCCCTTCATATAATATTGCAGTATCATTTGCAAAACTGGTTATTTTGCCACAATTAATTTGGAAAATATCATTTAAGTATATATTATATAACAGTGGACAGGTTGTGGACGGTTTGATTAGATTAGATAGTTTTCGATCAGTGATACTTCTCCTCTAAAACCAATTCCTTCCAATGTTTTGAATCATAATTTGTGATTCACTGTATCTAAAGCTTTAAATCAACAAAAATGCAAATAGAGAAAATTTTGTTATCAACATTTTGATGTATTTGAATTACAATTTTAACTATTGCGTCCGACTTCCCTTCCATAATGATTTTTACTTAAAATTTTGTGTATTGTGAGGTGTCGTATCATTCTAGTGGATAAAACTTTTTCGAAAACTTTTGCTACACTGGATATTATTGATATTGGTCTATAATTATTAACATCTGTTTTTTTTTCTTGATTTATTTATCGGTATTATATTACCTTTGTTTGAAATTGAGGGATATATACCGGATTCAAATCATTTTTTAATTATGTAAGTGAGTGGTTCTCTTATGTTCAATGCTAATAATGTTATTCAAACATTTTGGGATCCCTTTTTCCATAGAGGGAGCTCGGGTCGTGGTATAATTAATGAAGTATATCCATTCAACGTTTGTCTATGATTCATGAATGTTAAAAACCAGATATGACAAATTTGATGTTTAGTTTTACTATTAATAGCAGAAATTTCCAAAATTATTTGAATTCCATAAATAACTCCCGTTTTTTGCGCGAGTGTCCTTTTTACTGGTACATCTACCAAGCTTCTGGTCCGGACTTGATTTCTGCCATTGTACTGAAGTGAGCAAGTCTATAGCTCCGCTTTCAGTTATGAGCAAGGTGATGGGACGTGCATAAATCGGGAGCTTTTTGAGTACCTTGAATTCCACGGCTTGATTAGCGACAGGCAGTACGGTTTCCGGAACCAGCAGTCCAAAAATCATCAGCGAATTATCAAAAAAATCATCTTCAGACATAGATACCTTTAACACGGGTGCTTCTAGATAGAAATGTGATTTTTATTTAAATATGGCTTAGGTACCTTATTGCCTCAGGCCACTCATATTGTCATTGTGATGGAGAAAATGTTTAAATTTTACCAAAAACGAACTAAATGAGTCAACTAAATAAGTAAAAAAATGTCCTTCAAAATACATGTTCCGAGAATACAGTGCTTTTCAGAAAAGTTCAATGGCCGTGGCAAAATCGATGTTATACCTTTTAGCATGATGTACTCCATCTGCAGGAACCAAAACAATGTCAGCCGCACGTTTTTCTACTGCTCTCATGCACTGAGTTAGATTCTCTGCCTTGATACAAGCTAGGTCTGGTTCTACACCGTAGACAGCCGCTGATTCTACCAACCAAGAACATTTTGCTGTTTCGATGTTAGAGGTCGTGCAAATTTTGATGGTTCTTGGCGGGTGACAGCCCGAGAAACTGTTGGCACTCAAGAATCCTGCAAAATTGAAGTCAATTGATTGAAAGAATCTACAGAAAGTAGGTCGTGTGAAATGTCTTACTTTTCTTCAGCAGCGCTAACAACTAGCGTCATTGCAACAAATTATCTATATATCTACATATAGAGATTCTTTACCTACCGCTGAAATATCGTCAGATCTAGATTCTATGCACCTAATTTACCCAATAAAATCGTGCTTACCAGTAGCGTCATGGAGGTATGTCTCAATAGCCTCTACAGGACCCAAACTAACGAAAGTTGTGTAAGAAGTTTCTAGAAGATTGAGCAGACTGTATCTCCAGGATGTTCGATCATTGTGAGATAGGGATTCCACAATTGCTTGAATGTCCTGAGCTTTTTCCCTAAAAATTGTCAAACTAACGTCTAAAAACCAGTGGTAAACTCCTATTCACAATCGAGGAAGAGAAAGTAGTAGAGCAAATAAAAATGATAATGGAGAATAAACCCGAAAATATTTCACAATTATCACAATTCCCAACATTCATATTTCCAAAATTGCCATAATTTCCAAAATTGCAAGTTTCAAAAATTCAAAATAGTTCAAAAATTTCAGAAATTGAAAAAAACAGAATTTTCAAACATTCCGAAAAATTTCAAAAATTTAAAAAATTCAGATTTAAAATAATTCAAAGATTTCATCACATTTTCAAGATTTTCAAATATTTCGAGGATTTTAAGGATTTGAAAAATTTAAAAAAATTCACTGTTGAATTTTAAAAATTCGGGATATTTCGAAAATTTCCAAAATTTCTAAAATGTCTAATATTTTCAAAAATTTCTGTTTTGGGATTACAAAACTTTCGAAGATTTCCAAAAACCTCAAGAATTTTAAAATAATATAAATTTCATGAATTTAAAAAAATCGTAATCTTAAAAAATTCTAAAAACTCAAAAAATTCAAGAAATGTATTTCAAAAATTCCAAAATATTCAGTATTTCCAAAATTATTAAATATTTAAAACATTTCAAAACTTTTAATATTTGCAAACATTTTATGAATTTCATGAATTTCCAATATCTCAAAAATTTCTCCAGTCTCCAAAACATAAAATTTTCAATATCTCCAAAATTTCCCAAATTACCATATTCCCAAAATAATTTCCAAAGGCCTCATTACCTGTTAGCGCCAATCACAGGCCACGGCCTCACGACCCACACACATGGCTCGGTCATATTGATCGGCATCAAAGTATCATCAGGACACAACAAACTATAGTCCTCTGGAGGCATAAGGGCTCTGCCACCAGTGAGGCCAAAATGGGCTGCCATGTCATCCTTTCGGGCCCATGCCACGTCTCCAGCGCCATCTGTGAGGCAGAAAAGAGGCCCACGACGGCCCCAATACTCGTCTTGAGTCGAGCATTGTCCAGGGGAACCACATAAAGCGCAGAGGTTGCTATATTTTCGTTCTGAAAGAAACGTCAAGTTATTCAGTTATTAAAAATCCCTCAGCCGTAAAATTTTCCGATATTTCCAAGTTTCCTAAATGTTCGTACCTCCATGTAGGATTTGGTGCTTAAGAAGATATAGGCAAAATCCGAAATTCAAGAAATTTTTGGACCAATTCCATAGTTTGAACTTTGATTGGCCTACATTTGACCATGGATAGTTCTTGGCCTATAAAATAATGTCGATTACAAGCATCTTGAGGTTGCAACCAAAACGCAAAGCAATTCAAATCAGAAAGGAAGCTTGTTCTTTGTTCATATTCAGCTTTCGAAAATATTCAGACATGAACAAAGAACAAGCTTTCTTTCTGTCTTGAACTTATTTGTTTGTGCTGCAACCTGAAGATCATTGTACTTGTATCTTACTAGTCTGCGAAGACCACCTTCCTCCTTAAAATAGTATCGGTACGTTAGAATGTTACTCACTCAGTTCTTTTTCTAAAAATGGATTGTGGACCCAAGGACCAGCTTTACACGCAGCCGAAAAAAACTTTGATGAGGCTTTTATACGATTTTCGGTCACTGCTAACTTTGGATCACAGCTGGGTATCACGACAGAAGCTTCAAAATACTGGAAAGATGATAAAACGCTGTTGAAATTTTCAGATTCATAACATCTATGACATGTTTAATCAACGGTACTAGATTAAATTTATAATAAAAAAAGATGGATTCGTAACGTCGGATGTCTCTTTTTCCAACAGCTTGCCTGGAGGAATATTCTTAACACTTTTCGCCTGATTGTTCATGGTGTGTATAGAAATAACCGAAAAACAAATGTTATCAGTTTCTTTGCATTTTCTTCAATCGAAACTTGTCAACAGCTTAAAATTGTATGTGAATATTTCACTTTTATGGAACAGTGAAGCGGTTATTACTTGTTTTCTCATCCCTTTGTCTCTTCAAAAAATCTTATCTTTTCTTCTAATCTCATCTTGCTGAAAAATCGAATTTTCTACCCTTCACATCATGCGCAATACATCTAGGCGATTAGATCTTTCCTTCAAAATAAACAATACAAATTTAAAAATTGACAGAGTGGACAATATCAAACATTTAGGATTTTCTAGTTTAACATTTGAGGTGGGGTAATCATGCAGCCTACATTTTGAAGAAAATAAGATTTATTACATACAAAATTAAAATCCTCACAGGCGTCTAACATAAAATTATATGCGTACTAGTCTAATCATATTAGATGAAAATACTCCTGGTTTGCGAAATAATTGTAAAGTCTGGTTTTATTGGTGCAAGTTGTTCAATGGCGTATTTAAATCATGGGTACACCGATTTTTGTGGGAAAACTTTTTATTCGACAACAAAGAATGAGAAAACCCGTTTTTGGGAGTCTTGGCAGCAACGAAAAAACTATTAAAATAAGATTTTTAGCTATTTCTGAGACCTACCGAATGAGACTACACGTAAAAATATACTACTAATAGTCAAAAAGTTATGGCCCGAAAACCGAGGCCAAATGCAGGTTTTGGCGACGATAACGATAACTTGAGGTAATTAACTTGTAGTACATTCAACAAGCTTCCAATAGCAAAAGATAGACATTATACCGGTAAATCTCTTCCTCAGTTAATCTATAATAAAAGCACACATAATATGAAGTAGCATTTATTTCTCCAAATAAAAAAAAATAATAGAGACAAAAGGTGCATCGTGGATTCAAACCTCCGTCCTACGGTTCTGCAATCCTCAATCATTCCCATTACGCTATGACGCGTCTTGGTTTACTGGGTCCTTATACCTCGATGCTGACAAACGTCAAGCGAACGCTGGAGACATATCAAATCTGATATAAACAATTACAGTACTCTTGATAACGATACAAGGTCCAGTGCTGAATCTTTAAATAATGTATTAGGGACCAATAAGGAGCATTTTGCCTAATTTTTAAGACGCTCAGTTCGCTACAATTGGTTGATATTTCTCTACCGTTTTTTCGATTTCTTGAGTTTACGAGGGATTTTTTTTAAGTTTTGCATATAGAAACCTAGTAGGCCGCGCGGATCGAATGTCAGTACTGAATCTTAACCTAGTAATTTAGTAAAATTAAATTCAATGTTTCACAACAATACGTGCAGTTTTCTCACTACAGTGAATTTTTAAGTGTCACCAAGTCATTAGAAAAATGGAACTCAACCGAGAACATTTTCGCGCCATAATTTATTACAACTTGCAGAGACAATTATCGCAACAAGAATGCCTTGCTGAGTTACTGTCTGTTTTCGGCAACGAAGCGCCACGTCAGACGACAATTTCCCGTTGGTATGGAGAATTCAAACGTGGACGGGTGAGTCTTAGCGACGATCCCAGGGTGGGTGCACCAAAAACGGCAGTCACCCAGGAAAACATCGATGCTATGCGCAAACTCATCACTGAAGATAGACTTGTGACATATCGCGAGATTGAGGCGTTCTTGAAGATCTCAAAGACCCCAATTCAAAAAATTTTAGATGAGGAATTAGGAGTAAGAAAATTAGTTTCTCGTTGACTGAAGAGCAGAAAGCAGTCAGGGTTAATTGGTGTAAAAAAACGCTTGACCGTTTCAATTCCGGAAACTCAAACAATGTGTACAGCATTGTTAGTGGTGATGAATCATGGATTTACTGTTATGAACCAGAAAATAAATGACAGTCGGCTGTTTGGGTGTTCCAAGGTGAAGAAAAGCTAACAAAAGTCATCCGTTCTCGAAGTGTTTCGAAAAAGATGGTCGCGACATTTGGGTCAAAAGCGGGTCATATTGCAACAATTCCTCTTAATGAGCAAAGAACTGTTACTCCGGATTGGTATACCACCATTTGTTTGCCAAGTCCCGATCTAAGTCCTAACGATTTCTTTACTTTCCCGAAAATTAAAAACAGACTGCGTGGTAAAACGTTCCAATCACCAGAAGAAGCAGTTGACGCATTCAAAAATGCCGATTTGGATCTGCCAGCAAACGAGTGGAATAAGGGCTTCGAACATTGGTTCGAGCGCATGCAGATGTGTATTAATCTTCGTGGAGAATACTTCGAAAAACAATAAAGTCATTTAAAGCTACCTACCGTGTTGTTTTATTTCCATATGCAAAACTTAAAAGACATCCCTCGTATTTTCCAACATTTTGAACTCGCAGTCGTTTTAATCGAACTAGATTTCTAAAACGGACGTATACTATATTAATAATTTTAGAAAAAGAGTCTAGGGAATTATATTTCTTCGTAAAGACACTGGATTACGGATCTGGCAAAGGCATGCAGTCATCAATAATGCAGCAATTTAGCACATGCTACATACTATCTAGTCTAAGTTTGAAACATAGTTGTGTCTTCAGTTTGCGTGCTAACTTTATAAACAGTTCAGCGCATTTCAGTGTGGAATATTTTTTTTTATAAACTGTAGGGCTCTTCTGTGACCATGTAAAAATTTCAGCTCCAAATATGTATACACAAGAGTATGAAGAAATCTCTGATAGACACATCCGCTTTGTTTTGAAATGTGCATAATAAGGTATGTTTGAATCTGTTCAGCTACTCACATTTGAATTTTGTTTAGAAGAAAAAAACGTAAGCTTTCGTTGTTCGCATAAAAATAACAATTATCTTTCGGAATGGTCTGTGATGCACGTCGGCAAGGTAAACTCGTGTATTTTGCTATAAAACACCTCTGAACGAACCCTGTGTATTGCTCAGTAAACAGTAAACTAGCAGTGATGGCCGGAAGACAGGTGTTTTGGGATAAACAATTAGAAATTTGCAAAAACTACTTGACCAATCGGCTCCAATTTTGGTTGTGGTTATTTAATTTTTGGTAGCTGCGTAAAATTCTCGTTGCATTAGCAACAAGTACCAAAACCTGCATTTTGTCTCGGTTTTCGACCATAAATTTTTTACCATTAGTCGGATCTTTTTACGTGTGGTCTCATTAGGTAGGTCTCATAAATACCTAAGAATCTTATTTGAAGGATTTTCACGTTCCTCACAACACTTTCAATTGAATCCCAAAAAACACGTTTTCTCATTACTTGTAGAATAAAAAGTTTTCCAACAAAAATCGGTGTACGCATTTTATGCATCCAGGTTTTAAATACCCCCTTGAACAACTTACATCAATAAAACTCGACTTTACAATTACTTCGGGGAAATTTCCTAATATGATCACGCTAATGTATCATGCCTCGATTGAGCCGCGTCTAATTTATGACATATTAGCATATTAGCATATCCAGCGTATTTAAACAATATACAGGAAAAACCAAATTTGTCTGATGGCTTGAGTTCAATCTGTACGAGAGACAAGCGCGAGAAGTGTGGATTCTATCAACACATGTTAGAAAGAGGTAGAAGCCGAGGGTCGTCCAATCTTCCGCGTTGTCAATATATTTCATTAGAAAATGTTCCCACAGAACAGAACAAATAACGTTACCCAATACAAATTATCTCTGCCTGCGTGTACGGGTGTAGGGGTGGGTACTGACCAAAATCGCTCAACTATGATCGTGGAGGTAGAAACCTTGGCTTGGAATCTACAAGATGCGATGCTATCAAACGAATCAACGATGCAATGTTGCAGAATTTGTGGCGATCCTGACCTTTCATTTCGACCTAAATTGGAGCGCCGTTAGGACCGATCGGGAGTCAATATTAAAACAAATTCGACACAATTCACAATTCAAAAATGTGTCGCTCAAAATAAAACCATTATTTGGGCGTTAAGTAACGCATACTTTCAATATGCATCTTAATTCAACGAACTGGAGTAACATATTCGCAACGCATCATATTGCCGCGTCAGAGGTTCCTAGACAACGCGGAGATGAGCTCCGCTATCCAGACGGCTTTTATCTCATTCTAACATATTATGTGTCTATACATTCTTGTCTTTCGTACACATTGAACAAATTTTGTTATCAGTGAAGAAGTTTTACAGAGAACTGTTTCGGAAAACCAACATTATATTCAACAAATAATAATTTATACAACGAAACAAAATTATTTACTTGATATAAATTACGTGCAAGAACTGTCCCTAAACCTCATAACACCATAATGAAGCGATATTTTCTCTATTTGGCCTCAAAATTATATGAGCACATACCCAAAGACTTAAAACAGTTCCCAAATTTACACAATCTTAAGAAGAATTTATCAAAACGGATACGATCAATAGGAAGATTACATATTATTGAACTCCTACCTCCTCTCACTCTCTTTCGAACCATTACTGGGATGACCTACTTGAAAACCTCGCTGTCAAGATCGACCTCCTGAACATCAATCAGAGGTAGTTCTCCTCGATGATTTCAATGCCTATACCGAGTTTTGGTTGGGCTCAAACAAGACCAATGCAGCAGGTCGTGCACTTGACGCGTTCCCCCTTACTCAAGGGCTAACCCAGCAGATGACCAGCCCTAACTTTATTCCTCGCGTCTCGTCACATGCCAGTAGCCTGCTAGATCTATTTCTGACCATGCATCCTGTTCCTTACAGCACTGCTGTCCTGTCCCCCCTGGGTAACTCATACCAAGGAGCTGTGGAGGTTAAGATTCGGTCAGAACCGGATGTAGCAGCAGAAACTCACGCAGGCCGTAAAATTTGGCATTACGGACATGCCGACTGGGAAGGGCTCAGAGACTTCTTCTCTACCTTTCCTTAGAGACTTGTTTGTTTCGTTGACGCAGATGCGTCGGCTGTCTGTTCTTCAATAACCGAAATTATTCACGACGGGATGGAGGCATACATCCCTCACACAGTGAAATCAGGGTCCAACGGCTGGTTTAACAAATCGTGTGGCACTGCACGCCAGCAGACGATCAAGGCACACAGAACCTTCTGACAAACCCCCACTGTGGTGCACGAACAAGCCGACGTCGAGGCCAGAAACAAATATAACGAAGCGATTCGCAATGCCAAAGACCAGCCCGATACAAAAGTCAGGCACAGGGTAATGTCGCAGCGCAATGGCAGCCGATCTTTCTGGACGCTGGCCAAGCAGATTGAAACGAGTAGGCTCCCACCACCTACGGATCAGGATGGAAAGATTGTAACCGACTCAAAGGCCAAGTCGGAAGTGCTTGCCAAGATCTTTGCTGCCAACTCCACTATTGACGTCCCCCCACCTAACGCCCAAGTGCCGTCGATTCAAAGGGTTCCCTATACTATGCGGGAAGTATCATTCAGGCATAAGACCGTAAGATGGGTGCTCTTGACGCTTGACATAAACAAAGCTTCTGGTCCGGAATTGATTACAGCCATTGTACTGATGAGGTCTGTTCCAGATATCTTATGAATCCGGCACCTTCCCAGAAAACTGGAAATTTGCTCATGTCCAACTCATCCCAAAAAAAAAACGATCTAAGACCGACCCTTACAACCACAGGCCGATAGCTCTACTTTCTGTAATAAGTAAGGTGATGGAGAGGTGCATAAATCGTGAGCTACTTCGAACGTCACGGCTTGATTAGCGACAGGCAGCATGTGTGGGGTGCTGCCGCCCCGATTACATTATTTATGCTCGATGCTTTCCAGAGGAGGGATGTCCAACTGATCGATGACTCTTCCCTAACAGACAGTTTCGAGTCCCTTTCATACCGGCGATCTAGCTCTCTTCTATCGCTCCTCAGAGCTCTCCTCCATGTCGAGTTTCGTACATCCAGAACTGGCCGATACGACCGCTCCTTTGTCCCGAGGGTGTCGAGATTGTGGAACAATCCCAGTTCTACCAACCTTAAGCAGTTCAAAAATCGGATTAACAAGATTTCTTTGGGATCCTCATAGAAGCCGCGGTGCCCTGGCATTTAGGCAGTAATTAAGAGTTATCTTCTTCCACATAACATCTCTTTGGTATAAATTTTCCATCTAAATTTTTGTTTTATATTTGGAATGTCACACGTTTCGGCATACAACTAAAATGGTGTACAAGCATTGTACTTCTGTGGATCAAAATATTATTTATTTACCCAATCTATACTAAGTGACATATAAATCCGAACACCCAGTTTAAATGGTTTTATTTTAATAAAATTTTGTATAAGTACTTAATGAAGCATAATAAGTAAATGATAAAAATTTCAAAATGATTGCACTGCTTTAAAGCCCTTTGACCTTTAATAATGTGTGGATGCACCCTGATGTGCTACGCATTCTCCAACGCGCCTAGGCATGCTTCTGATCAGGTGGTGAATGTCCTCCTGTGGTATCTCATTCCAGGCAACCACCAACGCACCAACTCCTCTCGAAGTGCTTCTAGAGTCTAAGGAGGACGTTGCAAATTGAGCAGTCTCCTACCCATCATATCCCACACGTGCTCAATTGGGGATAAGTCGGGAGATCTTGGTGGCCATGGTAACAATGTGACATCATTATGTTGAAAGAAGTCTATTGTGACTCTTGCAACATGTGGTCGGGCATTATCTTGTTGGAAAGTTGGATCTGCCAGGGTGTCAAGATAGGGTAAAAGATGGGGTTCTAGAACTTCGTGGATATAACGCTGCGCGTTCATGTTACCTCTGATGAAGATTAAAGGTGACCTGGAACCATAAGCTATAGCACCCCAAACCATAACTCCAACAGTGTGATGAACATGTCTTTCAACAAAAAACTGTGGATTCCTCCTTTCACCACGTCGCCTTCTAACCCTTACACCGACGTAATCGCCTTGAGTGGTGCAGACAACGGTCACTCTGGGATCAGGAATGGAACAGTATTGTCTTTAGTAACGAGTCTCGATTTTGTTTAGGCATGCACGATGGTCGTGCCAGGGTTAGAAGGCGACGTGGTGAAAGGAGAAATCCACAGTTTTTTGTTGAAAGACATGTTCATCACACTGTTGGAGTTATGGTTTGGGGAGCTATAGCTTACGGTTCCAGGTCACCTTTAAACTTCATCAGAGGCAACATGAACGCGCAGCGTTATATCCACGAAGTTCTAGAACCCCATCTTTTACCCTATCTTGACACCCTGGCAGATCCAACTTTCCAACAAGATAATGCCCGACCACATGTTGCAAGAGTCACAATAGACTTCTTACAACATAATGATGTCACATTGTTACCATGGCCACCAAGATCTCTCGACCTATCCCCAATTGAGCACGTGTGGGATATGATAGGTAGGAGATTGCTCAATTTGCAACGTCCTCCTCAGACTCTAGAAGCACTTCGAAAGGAGTTGGTGGTTGCCTGGAATGAGATACCACAGAAGGACATTGACCACCTGATCAGAAGCATGCCTAGGCGCGTTGGAGAATGCGTAGCACATCAGGGTGCATCCACACATTATTAAAGGTCAAAGGGCTTTAAAGCAGTGCAATCATTTTGAAATTTTTATCATTTACTTATTATGCTTCATTAAGTACTTATACAAAATTTTATTAAAAGAAAACCATTTAAACTGGGTGTTCGGATTTATATGGCACTTAGTATATATTATCATTATAGTATTTATACAGGGTACGGTTTTGAAAAATTATAAAATAGTTAATTTTTTCTCGAAAACAAATTTATTGATGGAATCAGGTTCACAAGGAAATAGCATTTGAGACAGTCAAGTGTGGAAAATCACATCAGGCATGTGGTGGCCCAAATCGTTGATGCAGTGCTGGAGGCGTAGACTCTCTCCAACATCGCTCTCTCAACTTGGGCGACTTCCAGGCGAATTTCGCCCTTCAATTCGTCCAGAGTTCGGGGCTTGTTCGCCTATACTCTAGTCATGAGGTGTCCCCATAAGAAAAAATCGCATATGGATAAATCTGGGGACCGAGGAGGCCAATGAACATCGCCAAACCTGGAAATAAGGCGACCAGGGAAGAGAGGGCGAATAACGTCCATGGATGCTCGGGCTGTGTGGGCGGTCGCCCCATCTGCTGGAACCAGACACGTCGGTTTGGAACATGTCGCCGTTGTAATTCAGGGAGAAAGAAGTTGGTGATCATGTCGACGTAGCGCTGTGAGTTCACGGTAACATCACGACCATTACCGTCTTCGAAGAAGTAAGGCCAATGATGCAAGTTTGCGATATAGCGCACCAAACCGTTACTTTTGGGCTGTGCAGCTGTGCAGCTAACTGTTGCGGATTTTCATTAGCCCAATAACAACAATTCTGCTGGTTAACCATGCTGTTTAGGTGAAAGTGGGCTTCGTCACTCATAAACAATATGAAGTTCTCATTTTGATCGATCAGTGCTTCCATCTCACGTGCGAAGTTCATTCGTTGTGCATAATCTCCGGGCTGTAACTGTTGCACAATGGCCAATTTGTAGGGGTGAAAGCGGAGATCCATATGCAAAATTCGCCTTACCGAACGATCACTAAGGCGAAGTGCAGCAGCATGTTTCCGGGCAGATCGAGTCGGACTGAAAGACCTGTCGAACGCGTTCAACATTTTCAGGAGTTCGAACTGTTCGCGGCGCTCCTCTTGGTCTTCTGTTGATCAGTTCACCACGCCTGCGAAGTGATTCAACCCAACGAAGGATGGTGTTTCGAGAGGGAACAGCTCTATTCCGATGAATGTTGAAGTGGCGACGAAACTCACGCTGTACGACGATGACTGACTCATTATTTCGGACGAAACAATCATAGGCGAAAACGCGGTGCTCCACCGTTTAAGGCTCCATAGCGACAACTGGTAAAATAATGCTAGGATCTCACATCTCACGAGTCAAACGGCACCCTCCCCACCTCTCTCGTAGACGGAGGCGGAGAGTACTACCCATTCCAAAAACGTCCGTCCTCTCTGCCGCACCCTGAATGAATATCTACTACTACCTATCATGATGTAATCTGGATCTACGGCTAGCCAAAACTTTGTTTTCAAAAACCTCGCTACTCATACAACAGACAGGGTATCCTTTCAATTATTATGCGGTTACGAGTAAACAATGACATAATGGATAATAAACACACCTTTTCTAACATATCATTCGTATACAATAAACAATAAATCATGAAAATGATGCATTTTCAATTAATGTCATCACATCAACTGCTACAATAACCGCTGCAAATGGTTTTACTTACATTAGCTAGTATTTTATTCCAATCTGTCTCATAACCGAACCCTGGGTGACATAATCGCTTTCCTCTTAGATCATGTTTGCTTTTTATTCTCGAGTTGTTGTCTATTACTGCTACCACTTCATATTCGAACTTTTCTGTAAAAAATCAGTACGGTATACCTAGTGCTTCAAATTCCACTGAAAAAACTTAGTCAATTAAACAGTTGTTCTGGAAATTTTTATCATCCGTAATAAATAACTAAATTATCCGGTTTAACTGAACTGAGTTTTCTGGAACCGATTACATTGAAAGTGATATACTATTAAACTAATTTTCTTGGAAATAGTAAACCACGTACCTGTTTTATTAAACTGTTTAATTAGTTTAGGTAAGGTAGTTTATGAAGAAAACGTATATTTTAAACATTTCAATAAAAGCATTTGACTGTTTGTTTGAATCGCGGTCTGTTTTTTCTGTGTGCCACTGGGATTTCGGAAAAGATATGAGATAGAAAGTGAATTAAGTGGTGGCAAAGTTACGCATACAAGAAAGAAAGTAGCACTTAGGAAGTTTCGCAATTCCCAGTACCGAATTTTCCCAAAATCAATATTGCATACGAGTACTTTGAATTTCAATATGACAGTTCGTCTCTAGTCCTGATCATCAACTTTATTTTTTATTATAGGTGCCATATTGGATGTTTGCACAGGTGAATAGAATTGTTGATTCTGACTTCAAAACTACATAATATGTCATACATAATTATTGTTAAACCTAAGTTATTTAAAAAAAAAACAAATATTTTAATAGTTGGCTTTGAAAATGACAGTTTATCAAACGTTTATCCGATTAGATCACCAGTGATAAATTGTATAAATGCATTCGTGAGAAATAAGTATTTCAAATTTTAAGCTTATATCTATGGGTTACGATTATGTGTATTGAAATGTTTAAGCCCGCCATAATCCAAATATTACTATTAAAACCTTAAAATAGTACACAAAATAAAATTAAAGGAATATAAAATCAGAATTTGTTACAAAAATATAGTGGACCGAACCTTCTCAGGAATAAACCAATTGAACAAAAACATTTCCCAAATAATAATTAAATTTTATTTTCATTCTAATTTCATGAAAAATGTGTTATCCTGAAATTTGAAAGACTAGCGTTGACTGAGGGGAAAATTGGTGTCTGAGTTATTGTACCAAATGATCCAATCTGATCTTTTAATTCCACGTTAAACTATACGCACCATTCGTGTATCTCAACTCATTTGTAACTAACAGGTCAACTCCAGCATTTACTGAAGCGAGCAGATCTTCTGGCGCAAACACTGAGAAATCTACAGTTCCTTTAGAAATGCGCCTCAAACAATCTAACCTAAAACCAACGAGAAAAAACAAAGCTATTAGCGCAATTATTTTCATGCAGATCCATTACAACTTAGCGGAGCTTTCTTTTGAAGGAATTATACATATGATGATGATACGCTGCTTCTTGACACAAATGATAACGGAAATAAGATATATTTTCAACTCAGGGTGCACAAAAATGAACCTTCAAATCTATTGTCAAAAAGGGCTACTACTTTAATCAATGGTCGTATCTATTTGTTTGCCTTGTACATAATCAGAAATAAAAATATTTCAGGATACTCTCATGGATGTTTGTTCTACAACCTTATATTCTACTATTTTTTGTCTGGGACTAACCTGTCAAATGCTAAAACGCACTCTACTCCACTCTCTGGTTTATCCAAGTCCGGGCAATATTTCGCAGACTTTTTGAAGTTTCCCTTTCCATCTACGATGCATACTCTGTCTGAAAAATACAAATGTGCAGTAAAATCGTCATCCCCAAAGCATTTAATGTAGATTCATAAAGCATACAAAAGATGACGTCATGCAGATTGACTCTAGCAAACGGCAAAATGGAATCGTGATTAGGTAGGGGGCACTTAGGTACGATTAACCTTCGACATCTGCAAATCTATATTTCTGTTTCCCTGACAGATGTAAGGAATATAATGTATAACAGAATAATAGGTCTCTCACTGGAAACAAAATATGTAACAATTAAAACCATTTACTGCATACAACTTCCAACCTAGAACTTTCATCCCTTCCAAACAATATCTCAAAATGCGCAGGAATTCTATTTACGTCGCCTACGAACTAATTTTCAGAATCTCAGGCGCGGATCCAGGGGGGGCGGTCATGAGGATCTTGACCCCCCCAGGCGAATTTAGTTCGACCACCAATTTTTAAAGCTCCAAATCTCTTAGATAAATCTGTAAATGGATGCCGTACTGGTATTTTCTACTAAACACTCGCAGCACTGCATCTGTCAACTTGGATTTAACTGTAAGCTCATAGATGATAGCGCAAGTCTGGTTGCATATATATCATATATAAACCTACCTACAAGGTCCATCAGTGGCACATGTATAGATCACTGCTTTGTGAAAGACCTATCCAACAAAATTACTTGTATACCAATAATCCTAGAAAGCGATATTACTGACCACTTCTCCACTATTTCACTGATATCTTCAAATGAAAAACATTCTAACATCCCTACTGTTAGTAACAACCAGGAAAATTACAAATTTTTTGTCGACAATTCAAAACTAATATCAAATGTCAAACAAGAATCCTGGGAACAATTATACTCTATAAATAATATAGACAAAGCAACGGGACTGTTCATAGAGAAAATAAAAAAACGAATAGATATTAGTACCAATAAAGTAATAATTAGTCACAAAGAGAAAAGCAGAAATGCCTGGATTACCAAAGGATTAATAACATCGGCAATAGAAAAAGAAAGACTATATAATGTAATGAAACTAACGCCAACTACAGAGAATACCGACTGCTACAACCAATATAAAAATAAATTTATAGAGCTTGTAAGGCAAACCAAACGAAAACATTATCTAAATAAATTGAATAATAACTTAAATGATCCTAAGCGGCTTTGGACAACTATTGATGAGATTACTGGGAAAACAAAAGTTAAAGAGTGTGTCACTGAGTCAAATACAACATCGGGAACAGTATTAAAAAATACTCAACAGATATGCGATGAATTTGTACAATTCTTTACTGACATAGGCGAAAATTTAGCAAGTAATATACAAGCAAATGTACAAAATACTCAGCCTCCAAAAAGAACTTTGAACTCATTTATTTTGGATAAAGTCGAGCAATGTGAAGTATACACCACTGTTATGTCCTTAAAAAATCGGAAAAGTCCTGGGTTCGATGGTATTAAAAGCGAGCATTTGAAAATTATAGCCAAGGACATAACAGAACCACTCACTTACCTAATCAACAAATGCTTTGAATCTGGCATATATCCCTCAATTTTAAAAAAAGGTAATATAATACCGATACATAAATCAGGAACAAAAACAGATGTTAACAACCATAGACCAATATCAATAATATCCAGTGTAGCAAAGGTTTTTGAAAAAGTTTTATCTACTAGAATGATTCGATACCTCACAAAATTCAAAATTTTAAGTGAAAATCAATATGGATTTACAGAAGGGAAGGCTACATCGGACGCAATAACTAAAATTGTAAATCAAATACATCAAAATATTGATAACAGAATCCCTTCAATCTGCATTTTTGTTGATTTAAAGAAAGCTTTCGACACAGTTAATCACAAATTATTATTAGAAGCATTGGAGAGAATTGGTTTCAGAGGAAACGCGTACTCACTGATCGAAAGTTATTTGTCAAATCGCCCACAATCTGTGCAGATATCAGGATCATTTAGTAAAGAAATGTATATTAAGTGTGGTGTCCCACAAGGTCCGCTGTTATTCAATATATATTTAAATGATATTTTCCAAATTAATTGTGTTGGCAAAATAACTAGTTTTGCAGATGATACTGCAATATTATAGGAAGACACTGACTGGTCTGATCTGAAAAATGTAATTGAAAATGATTTTATCAAAATTATTCGATGGTTTAACAGCAGAAAATTAAGCACTAACTACTCTAAAACACATTTTTTACCATTTGGATCTTATGCTAGACATCTGCCAAATTACACAAATTTCTCCTTCAATATTAATGATCAAAAAATGCAAATTAATAGAGTGCCCAACATAAAATACCTTGGAGTGGTCTTGGATCCTCACTTACGATGGGACATCCATGTCAATTATGTTTTAAAGAAAGTTAGATTTGTATCCTACAAAATTAAATACCTTGGGAATATATTGACAGAAAAATATCTTCGAACATTATACCATGCACTGATTGAGCCTCATCTCACATATGGTATATTAGCATGGGGAGCTGCATGTTCCTCACATATCTATAATTTAGATGTTTTTCAAAAAAGTATTCTAAAAATGATATTTAAAGAACCGAAACTTTATCCCACTGAAAAATTATACGCAGATATTCGAATGTATGATATAAGACAGCTTTATTTCTTACACAGTATCACTCACTACCATAAATTTGTAAACACCGACCAAAAAATTAAACATAATCATTATACCAGGTACAAAATTCGTGGCACAGTAGTTCCTCAACCGCATAAATCTATAATGCAGCGATCATATCTCTATTTAGCACCTAAATTTTATGAAATTATACCTAAAGACTTAAAAGATTTACGTTTCGGAAATTGTTTCAAAAGAAATTTAAAAAAGTGGCTACATTCTATATCTAGGACTGAAATTCATAAACTCATAAATACGAACATCAACTAAATACATAATCTACTGTAGCTAATTTTTGTCCTTTTTTGTCATTTGCATTCTACAGTTTCAACTTAAATTTATTGGTTCATGTACAGGCGATGCCTTCTATTGGGCCTGTTTTGATTTTATATTTATTTACTCATATTGTTTGTTATCTTTGTACATTGAGTGAATAAATATTATTATTATTATTATTATTATATGCGGTCAGCTTGATGTAGGAAAAACTTCGCGCGCGCGCTTAAGCTGTAAGCAAATTTGATAAAAAATACTTTTTGACGGACCAGTGGCGGATTTAAGGAAAAGGGCCCGGTCGGCAATATACACTGGGAGGGCCCGGTGGTATGATCGGGGACAGACGGCAAATAGTGCGCACTATAACTGTTTTGCGAATAACATAAACTACTGCAATTATTGACAAATAAAATATGCCAATGGAAACTTTGAAAGTTGCATCATAACTCAGAAATTGATATCAAAATTTAATGCGTAATGTCATGTTAGTGTCATCGTACATCAGCCTGGTTTTTGCATTTAATAGTGAGCACGGGCGCGGGACAGGTTGTAATGCGCTTCGTAATTTTTTGAAGTAAATTAAACTTGATGATTCACCAGCAAACTTCTTGTGCATAATAGAGTTTAAAAGTTATCACGGATGCTACCGATAAGTAAAGGGCGTCGAGTCAAATTTGGAGTGCACGCTATTTATAGGATTTGCATAAAATTATAAGTAACAAAAAAAAACAAATATGATCGATAGTTGTTGTCATGTTTGCCGTAATTATTATTTCGTTGAATAAATACTTGGTGAACAACACTAAAATACGTTAAATAACGTCCATTACTACAGGATATATACTGGGCACTATTTGCGAAAGTGATATTATCCACATTTATCGCTATTTGCAAATTAATGAGGGCAACTGAGAATAAAAAAATTAGAAAGACCTGCACAAGTAACCAAAACAAGCTCATGGATAGTGCAAAAGGTTTTTTAATAGTAATTTGATGCAAAAAGCTAATCTGATGCTGCTTCAACGTGCCAATACAGCAGCTAATTCAACTGTTTCAATATTCACGCGGATCTAAAATTTTCGATAACGTAAAATCCATCTAAATTGTTCAGATAAAGTTCGAACTACAGATTTTGCTGGCAATAAGGATGCCACATATTAACAGGGACTCACAATTATGTGCACAATAGTAGCTGCTGCGCACTGTTACATTTGTTTTTTCACTATGTATATGTCTATACAACCTAGATCAAGTAGAGACTGTGAGATCAAACATATTTTATTCAATACAAAATAATAGAATTATTATAATTTGAATCCGCGTCTTGCTTTTCGTTCAGCAAAAACTTCCATCGCAGAATCCAAATTGAGTGTATTAGCTACTGATCTTTCGATATAGAGGATAGAGAAGTTGTTGAGTGTGTCTTTAGCCAAAGAAGCTCGACGGTATTCTTTAATAATTTTCAAAGAGTTCATGACACCTTCAGCACTAGCTGAACCGATAGGCAAAGTCAAAAACAATCTGAATAAACTGAAGCTCTCTGGAAAACTGTCTACAAAATTGTTTGCAATAATGAACTTCAAATAATCTAGCGGGCTGTCATTAGTAAAATTACGATTTTCCGAAAAATACATGCTCGCCAAACTGGCTGATTCATATTTTAGGTCTGTAGTGAAAAATTCCGAATATTTTTCCATTAAATTAGTGACGCTGGTTTCTAATTCTAACATAATTATCGTATGTGCTTTTGATCCTCAAATCTTTTAATTTTTTTAATGCTGCTGAAATGCACCTTTGAGCCACCATCAAGTCTATTTCTTTCTTTTGCATTTGAACCTGCATAGTATTCATTACGCTCAATACTGAATGCCACGATAACAAATTGAGGAAAAAGGTCCAGTTCATGGAGGAAAGGAGAGATCTTGCACCCATTAAATCTTCGCCAGAAGCTCCGACTCTTAAAATTTATCTTCTATGCAATTGATAATACATTCAAAAACTTTCTTCCATAATATTATCACGAATAAAAAGATATGTCATCAAATAAAAAAATGCACAGTATTGCGAAAGTTTA